TCACATTTACATTTTAATGTAAAACAATATAGTGCTGGTTACAAAAGGGAATTTCAAAGTGACTGTTGCTGAGCAGCAGAGAGAAAGCCTTACGGTTCACTTTTAAGTTGATCCTACTTCATCTTATTGTCTGATTCTCCTTGACTCTTGTTATTCCTTGTTTCGACCAAACAACAACACCAAGATAGTATGTGAGGACAGGCAAAACATATTGCATAAGTATTTGTGGCCTTGGCTTTGTTACGAGTGTACATCTCTGAACTTAAGCCTGCATTTGTATTCTGCCCGACGATTGCCCTTAATGTGGGCTTTCTGTTTTTCTGCAACCCAAAGTACGCATAAGCCTGACCTCCACGAGATGGCCTATACCCCCTTAACCAAGTAAACTGACTTATCCCTCTTAGTCTATCTTGCTACGTTTAAGATGAAGAATGTTGCATTTGTCGAGCCCAAAGAAGAGCCCGAGAAATGGTAAAGGACATGGGTTGCTGAAAACCAGTTCGAACTCGGATGTTTCACGGGTATGTAGTCTTATTATTTATTTCCATTTGACTTTTAGTTATTGATTGCCTTCATACACTTAATTTCGAGCAATCAATCCAGGAGATAACTTTCCTTGTTTCAGTTCTTGAAACAAGCTTTTCTTTGGATGGTTTTGTTTATTACAAGTTCTTAGTTCTTTGTCATTGTGTGGAGTTCCTCAAGTGTTCAAGCAGCAGCATGTAACAGTTAACGTCATGCAAAGACCAGTCCGCATGAGTGAGAGAGTTAAGATTTAACGTCACATCGGCAATTTTTCAGCCATATCGTGACAAGAATAAATTGGACATTTATAGTGAGTGAGTTAGTTATTGTTTAACGTCAGATCGGCAATATTTCAGCCATATCGTGACGAGAACATTTGACATTGAAATAGAATATACATGTATATAGATATTATAAAAACCTGCCGACGAAGGACAGTAAAACAACTAGAATATCACAGATGTACATGTAAAACTAGTAATTGAATCTAAAACATTTTAACTATAGGTGACAACACAATATAAAAATAGGCTATAGATCACCAACCACTGCAGATATGGACATTTATAAACAACATGTATATATTATAAAATGTGTCGTCAAAGGTCAGTAAAACAACTAGATTATCACTGACACAAAAAATAAAACTAGTATCTATCTCTAAAACTGGATTCATAAGTAGGACAATACAATTAAAAACGGGCTATAGATAGCCAACAACTGAAGGTAGATCACCATACTAGGTGAGGTGAGGTGATAGGGGGTTTAACGTCGTGCTTGAGAATATTTCGCTCATATGACGACGTGCATGCGTGTGTATGTGTATGTGTGACTGCTTGTACTAGCCCAGACTTAAGCTGATTTTATAGTGCTAGCCCACTGAGATACCATGCCGCAGTGAAGCATGAATACCCCACTCATACACATTATACTGACTCCGAGCCGACCAGTCCTTGTTGTACCCATTACTGCCGAGCGCCAGGCAGGGACCAACAAGTACCATATTTTAAAGTCTTTTGGTATGACGCGGTCGGGGATCGAACCCGCTCTCCGGGCGGACGCTCTAACCACTTCACCACGGAGGCAGTCCACCATAATAGGGACCATGGGGACTTACATAACTTTGGCTACCTGCATGGACCCTAGTTGAATTTACACCATCCCTTCCGCCGCTGGCGACTGTATTCAAATTTAGCCGAAATTTAAAATAACAAAAATACTAAGTTTTAAAAAAATTAGTAAGTTTAAAGTTTACTTTGAAAGTTTTGGGACTTACGTACCCTCTCAGGAGGACAATAATTTTACGATAGTCCGCACAGGAGCAATGATATCATTAATGTTTTACATTTGATTATATGGAAAACAGTCACGTCGTTCACTGAAACTTGATCTTTATTTAACTGACCCTTTGGCGGATCCAGAGGGGGGGTTCAGGGGGGTTCGAACCCCCTTTGAAAATGACTTAAGACCACATTGAAGATTTGTTTTGCGTTGGCGGAGCCAATGGGGGTTCAGGGGGTTCGAACCACCTGACCGAGAATCAACAACTGCACACTGCACAGAAATATGTCACGCTGCATATGGTTAACAAACGTAGCGAGAGGCCGCATACAATGTTCACTATGGCTGTAAGGGTTGCCTCCCTTCAGTTGTGTTTCCGTTCTATAATCATTTATACGGTCGCACCCACACTTCCTTAAATCCAGCGGACATGTAAGCCTGGATGGACTGTCTCCCTTTAGCTGAGTTGCGCAAACTGGCAAGTCCTGAAATAACATATTCTCACTGATAAAACGACCTGACACTAAAACTATCCATATGGACAATCGCATATTTATTTGGTATTATGAATGCTGTTAACAGTGAAAAAGTTTCGGTTGTGATTAAAATTCTGTTAAATGGGAACATGTGTGTGTGTGTGTGTGTGTGTGTGTGTGTGTGTGTGTGTGTGTGTGTGTGTGTGTGTGTGTGTGTGTGTTCAGTGTGCGTGTAGTTTGTTGTTCTTACAATTATATTCGCTATATGACATCAATCGACATCATGGGTTACGATGTAAACGAGTCTGCTTACTCTCCAACAAAAAGCCTGGGTTGTTTTTCTTTCATGACAGATACTTTATTTGAGTATCACCGCATATATGCTTGTAAAAGAACATCACAATAGAAAAATATAACCTGTCAACCCCTGTCAGGGTCATGTATACAATATAAATGACGCATACACCACGTACAATACAAGGGTAAAATACTTGAAAAAGATTATTACAAAATATTAAACATGTTTGTGCATATTGAAACATTAGGTGAGTGAGTGAGTTTAGTTTCAGCAATATTCCAGCAATATCACGGGCCTTTGGTGAGACGAGCGACTGTTTTTTAACCACTAAAGTATCCTCGTCTGATCGACCCTTGATGTCACTGGAGTTATGGTGAAAACGGCGTCAACTTCAAACGCATCATTTTGTAGTGTTTACACATTGCTGATGCCAATATCTTGCATCGATTTTATCATTAAAATGCACGCTCTATGCTCTGTTTTCTGTAGGGGTGATCTCAACCTTAATATCTGGTAAAGTATCTTTAATTTTAAGGTCCCATTATTAAGTCAAAATGCGTAGAACGAACTACGGATATAGCGAACTAACAGTAGTGGTCACTTGAGTTCTTTATATCCGTAATGTACTGCATATTGTACGATCAGAAGAATTTACCAATAGCCGTATCGGCATAATCAGCAACTCAACATTTAATATGATATCAAGTCATTATAGTCATTCAATGTTTATCTCATTTTAAAGTAGAAAGAAACGCCGTGACGTCTATGGAGTGATACGGTCTTCCTCTCCAGATACGTGACATCTTTATACCGACTGACTGAGTTTGGTTTTACGCCGCTTTTAGCAATATTCCAGCAACATCACGGCGGGGGACACCAGAAATGGGCTTCACTCATTGTACTCATGTGGGGAATCGAACCCGGGTCTTCGGCGTGACGAGCCAACGCTTTAACCACTAGACTACCCCGCCGCCCCTCTTTATACCGAGGTCATACGGACCCTGTCATATGATGGTGCATATGTGGGCAGATGATTGTGTGACACTAACCCAGCTAACAGTTTCACGTTGTCACAACGTTGTGGCCTGATGTTGTGATGCGTCATTTTCCCGTCGCCACAAGGTTAAAGTTATGCTTACATATTTTACGTTGTGTATAACTTTCAATTTGACGTTAATTGTTGAATAATTTCCCCAGTAGTGAACAGTACATAAAACACAAAACTGAAATTCACTTCTATATTTACTCGTCAATTTGCATATTGCATTGGTCGTATGTTTTCTGAAGCTGTAGCTGAATAGTGAAGAAATAATCTCAAAGTGAAAAGTTTTACAGAAAACTCTACCGTGACACCCATGTTATAAGAAACGCTGTGGGTAGCACAAAGCATAACGTTTCCTCAACGTAAATTTTCCACGTTGTGACATAACGTTATAAAATGACGTAATACAAACGTTGTGACAACGTTGTGTGATGACGTTACCAATCTACAACCAACGTTGCGAAAACGTTGTGTGTTAGCTGGGAACCAGTCTCTTGTCGGGTAGCTTTCTACTCGTTTGATACGTTTTGGAACAATTCAATGTAAGATAAATGACCCATGACAGGCACGAGCGCAGTTGTCTATTTCTTAGACAGCATAAAATCTGACCGTTGTTGTATCGAATAGATAACTTTTATATATTATATCAAAGAATGACAATCAGGAACGTAGACATCATAATCTGACCTTTTCATCTCACGTTTGATATCAGTTATCTCAAATGGTTTACTCAACCACAGGTGCATGAGAAAAGTAGACCTCGGCACAGTTGGATTGTGTGACGGATTCATGTACAGGTGAAAGGTCCGCCCTCGTATCAGCCGAGAAATGCACTTGGATGTCCTGCTGTCCTCGCTTTATCTAATCACAAGGTAGACACCTTTCATGGCTGATAATATGAATAACATAATGAACGCATCGGCCACTGTTGTTGTTATGTTTGTTCAGTTGTATGTATTCAGAAATACCATATTTCACAAAGACGTGTTTGCTGAGTTTAATTTTACTGTAATGTAAATACTGTAATGTAAACTGTAAAAGTAATTTTGTAACGCTTAATATCTCAATTTTAAGTATATATAATATAGTAGTTAAAGTTGGTGCCTCTATGTGGATTTCAGGTAGTACGATATACTCTTTTATAGTATGTCCTATCCTGATACATTTCCAGGGTTCTGCAACATATCTTGCAAAGATATTTCAGAGGAGAAAGGATCATCATCATTTCTAATTTCAAAACACTGCACTTGAATAAGTATTTTCTGTTACATTTTTGGTGATGCGGAAATCCTTGTTTATTTGTGACGCCCTCACTGCCCAGATAGTTGTCCATATGTCCCAAGAACATTAGCTGACAAACATCTTCTCTTTGAATGAACGTTATCTTTATCAACGAGTCGCGACCAAAGTACGGAGCGGCGGACCTTCATCAGTACATGCTGACAGCTGGGACAGGCTGCACTCTGTGAAAGTAAGTAACTCTTAATAGCTCGCACAACGAGTGGTTTTCTTTAAAATCAAACAAGAAATAACTGGGCATGGTCGTTCCTGTCTTTGACATTCCTATAAACTGTTATAGTAAAATATTTGTTTGATATCGGGCTGATTTCTGGGCAGTCATATTGTGTTATGAGAGATAAATATATTTTGGATAGCTTGTTATCGTGTAATCTGAATTTTGTAATTGCTATGTGTTCAGACTGAATATCGAAATCCGTATTTCATTATATACATTCGAATGAAATATATTATCATTAAAGAAGCCATTGCACATACTTGTATTTACAAGACAGTGTGTATATACGACGTAGATGCCTTCCATTTGAGCAGCTAACATAATCAGCATCTTTCCAATCAGTCGCGACAAACATTATATATCACCTCGATATCTATAACAAGATTCGTCCTGCCTGGTAATCATTTTGCAGGGTTTGTGTGTTAAAGAGTGCGTACGCAACTGGTCATGGGGTCGTTCGGAGGTCACGCTCTGCCAGGTTCCTTCTTCATCCTCTTTGCGATATGGTACACCGTCCAGTCCTTCAGGAGGTACTTCCAGTGCCGGGAGAATGGCGCCAGGTTTACATCCACCGTTACCTTCCCCTGTTCCTGCCTCTGCGGCAGATTCAAACACTGGCCTGTTGAAAGCATGATCAAACTATTCTTCATCGCCGTCGGATTGACAGTTGAGATCTCTGCCGGTTTCGTCGACGGGAAATTCAGAAGCATTGTCAATGGACAACACGCGACCATGTTCTTCTTCTTTGGCATCACTGGACTCATCGATATTCTCGTGCACTGCCGAGCCCCTCTTCCACCTGATACTGACTACATCTCAAACGCAATAGCTTTTGGTGTTGAGGCCCTGCTGTTCAACTTCCATCTGTACGGGAGAACCCCCTTGGATGTTCTTGTGCACGTTCTTCTGCTGTACGTCATCCTGGCCAGCATAGTTTGTGTGTTTGTAGAGATGCGGTACCGACATAACCTGTTGTCCCCACTTGGACGGGCTTACCTAATGCTGATGCAAGGAACGTGGTTCTGGCAGGTGGGATTCATTCTTTACCCTCCACTCGATGGTGCAAAGTGGAATGAGAATGATCACGGACAGCTGATGCTCGCCACTATGTATTTTACATGGCATGGTGGTGTCAATTTCATTCTCATGCTTCTCATTGGAGCTGTCATTGCATGTCACTATCGACGTCGTAACGGTTACTACAGTAACGAGCTAAACATGAAACGGCTTATACGTTCATCAGGGCAACAGAAAAGCGTAAGTGGCGAAAGTGGATCCGAGGTAGAGTTTGAAAAACCGGTCAACGGACCTTGAGTTGTAATACTCAAGTATTCTGATTAAGTATTCATGCACTGAACTGTTCTTTCGTACCGCGAGCTGAAGTTTATCTATCTCACGCGTGATGCAAAATATGTTTCGTGACAGAAATGAACATGAAACAGACATTTCTGAGCTCTGGATAATTATGTATTTGGTATAACAATACGATTGGTTTCTGGTTCAACATATTTGTGTCTATTCAATGTGTTTGCTTTACCGTGCTTTATAAAAGACAAAAATATACAATTAGCGTGTAATCGTTGATAGAACTGGTGGTGATTCTGCAGTAATGCATTTATTCATTGAATGCATTGTTACTGTGCGTTATGATCTTCAGCAACACACAGTCAGAGTCTGCTTTGGCGTATAAAAATGCTTTGTGTACAACCAATTGCTTAACAAATTATAAGTAACCTTATATGGAGAGGTGTATTAGTTGAGAAAAAGTTATAAATCATCGAGTTTCGATGCATTTTGGCTGTTTTCTGTCGTGTGTTGGTAGGTTTACTGAACGAACATTTGAGCAACATGATCACATAGGCGATCCATCCATGCCAGAGCTATTCTGAAACGGAATCTCCCCACGCAGTGTTCCCATGTGTGTGGTTTGGATAATGTGTACTATTTACTAACCACATGATTCGATGGGACGTTCACGCAATATGTACATGTATTCGCTAAACATTGTACATATGTGAACCTGTGACCCTCAGCCTGCTTCCTGCAAACTAGTCATGGAGCCTTATTTCAACCATTGATTTTATGATCATGAAACAGGCATGGATTTATTCAAGAATAGAGGTCAAAATCTTTTATGGATGGAGGTGCTTGAAGATTATCTGGTTTCAGAGATATCTCCTGAAACCCATATCGCGATCGTTTACACCCAAACGGTACCTTTAAACTAGAAGACCTGAGGACACCTCCGGAGAAGACCGCGCCGGGTGAAATTTCTCATTAGCCTGACACAACTGACGCGTCAACATTCTGAAGATAATACGTTATCTACTAATTGAAGTGTAAGTGGCACCTGCTTAAAGGTGTCATTATTATCAAGACACGTCATCAGGGGACATGGGTTAGTCTCGAATCAGCCACGTGTTTATAAGCGAGAAATCCATTTTCCGGATTATGGAGTATATCTAATGGATAACTCGCTTCGAATTCTCATGTCCCTAACTGATTATCTATGATATTACGCCCACCTCCTGACGGGAACCTACTCTCGTCGTAAATGAGGTATATTAACCACATTTCCCCTCTGTACCGAAACTCTAAAACATCTCAATTTTACTCTTCGTAGTAATAGGAGGCAGCAATAATGCCTCACGGACAGTGAACGGCTAAAGACCGAACACATATAAGTTCCGGGGCCCGATCAACAAATTGCTCGTAGCACTACACCATGCGTATGCCAATGATAAACAAAGCAGTTATAATAGCTCGTAACGCTACGAACTCTTTGTGAAGTTCAGTTATAATGACAAGAGAAGGACGCAGGCCAAATGTTCCTCTTATATCGTGTCAGCATTTACTTACGAACATACTACGTTGACAGCGGGAAGCATAACAAATGAGTATTACTCCGCTTTTTGCAATATTGCAGCAATATGACAGACAGGTATACTGGAAATTCGCTTCACACATTGTACATATGTGGGGAATCGAACTGGGCCTTCGGCCTGACGAGCGAACGCTTATACGATTAGGCTACCCCACTGTCCCCTAGGTAGTATGAAAACGGTAACACACACTTTGCATACGTTAAATGTTAGAAACATTAAATTGAGCATTATGCGCATACCGCATTTTACGTCCGTAGGTCTACAAACGCATGCACGTATTGGAAATACGTGACGATACCCTTTAGGTATTCACGACTTATCTTTGCTCTACACTGATTCAGTTGTACGATTACGACTATTTCTATGACTCACAATCAGATAACAGATGTATGCAAGACGGTGAAGATATCATCTCCAAACGGCGACAGCTGTCACAAACACATGCAAAGACAAGTCAACCATCCACTTAAACAAAACACAACAACAACAACAACAATCTTAAACATGTGTTAAAGCTCAAATAGATAATTTTATTGAACATATTTCTGCCACTGATACATCCTAATTGAATGCGTTCTCCACGTGTCCACCATTAAAGTTTTAGAAGTTATTTTGAGAAATTGAATGGTAAAATCTTGATCAAACACATTTTGAACTAGGGTTGTTTGACTCTCTTTTTGAAATCGTTGTAAAAGAGCATGCTCTATTGTACCTTAACGTGAAGCGTAGAAATCAATGACTGTAGTTGTTGAAGACAATGTTTATGAATAAATCGACGGTTCGTCATTAATAGCTTTAAGGACAACTTATTTAACCCAAATGTGTAGACAACAGTAAAAACTCAGCAACATCACTTAGCTGAACAATTAACGCCAACAACGTGGGTTGATGCGAACACAAACGCAAAATGAATTACTTGTTAGACTGAACCTCTTGGAGATTTTTGTGTCGTTATGTAAACATGACGAGAAATTGATTTTCGTTCTAGTTGTTTTTTATAGGGATTGTTTTTGTTGTTGTAATAGACTATTAAGCAGTGCATCTTCACAGAAGAATAGTCTCACAAGGACCATGTACACATTTATCTGTATATGTATGATTGTACATCAGTTACGTGTATAATGATGTACATATCTCACTTGTAATGTGTCTACCTCCAAAGGAAGGTTACAACGCTACATGTATTACACTAAAAATATGTCTGGCAACATAAATAAATTACAGGTAATATAAGCAGCAACAGTCATTTCATAACCATTACTACCTGTTACCGCCTGAGAATAAACCCTTTCGATTATCTGCCGACCCTGCCGACCCTGCGTAACCGATGTCACCAAACAAAAGAACACATGCAATGGCAAGTCAGCTGTTCTTCTCAACAAGCACAGGAACATATCACGTACGCGATAACTGCTTTCCCACATAGGTAAAAATACAGCACATGCACATCTATTATAGAGACATAGTGTCTTCAGTTCATACTCTGATGTTTCATCAGCGTAAGGGAGAAATATTCAAGGTTAATTCAGCAACATTTATCAAGCTTTACACATCTTTGAGATACGTTATGCTATTTATGTTGGCAAAGGCTTTGAGATACGTTATGCTATTTATGTTGGCAAAGGCGCGGGAATTAAGTTAGCACAGAACGACATGTGGAATGTTTACTTGTGCGAAGCCTATAAGAAGTAAAGGTCAATTAAGATATATCTTTCGTGTCGTGCCTTTTAACAACGAACATTTTCTTCTGAACGTCTCAAGCCCAGCTGAGAGATCATTTGCTTTGTGAAGATTGCACAAAGTTGTGTAGACGATACAGTGGCTATATAGGGGAGACATACATATATAAGTTCTTCCTGATGAAGGGTATCAGTGACCATTGTGGTTGGTGGTCGAACTCGTCGACAATTTTCTTATCAAACACTATACATCTCATAATTTGATAATCATCACCCTTGTTTCTCCAGGAAAACAACACTGACGTGTTAACCACTCCTGTGTCAAAGGAGTGTTTTGGTAACTGAATCTACACGGTTACATATCGATTTCCAAATTGAAACACGAAGGTAACCCCGAAATCCTTATGTAATGGCTGTCGTGGCGGCCATGTTGAATTTTGGATGGCAATATTTTAGCGTACTTGATTGACAACAATGCAATATCTCATAGTCACCAATCAGATGCTTTATAAAAAGGAAAGACGCATTTTCACTAACATCTGTGAGTCCTGTTAATTTGGTGTTTCTGTTGCAAAGTAGTGTATGCAATCACTCATTAAACATACACTTAATTTAAGTAATGTAAAAATGTAGGACCAAATACATTTGAAAAACTCATGGATTGTGCGAATATTATGATGTGCTCACAAGAAAGAACCAATTGGTGATAATGACAACATACAACCTCCCGAGTTTGAAGGCTCGTGATGTTTGAGTTCCAAATAAATTCTCTCCTGAAAACACATCGCTACAATGCCTCTATCAGCACCCAGGTACACGCTGACCTCCACGTCTGGCTTCTTTAAAAGCCCCGCTATAAAACTTGTTTCGTAAAGGCAACAATAAAGCTAGCGTATACGTTTTCACGAGACAGTATTCGTGAAGTAACCTATTTTCGTGGGAAACCCTTGAGTCTTCTTCAGCACGAAGTATAACATTAGTGCTAACCTCCCTACATTGGTTCTCAGTCGAAGCTCGAGTCCAATACAAAATTCTTACTTTGACATATAAATGTGTCAATCAAACTGCTCCTGCCTATCTGACAGAATTGATTGAGAAATATGAACTTTCTCGGACACTAAGATCTGCTGATCAGTTATTTCCTAAAGAACCCCAAACCTGCCTCAAAAAGTATGGACAGAGATCATTTGCTCACATGGCCCCGACTCAGCTGTGGAATGATCTTCCCTTGGGAATAAAAAAATCCCAATCATTGACAATCTTTAAAAGCTGCCTAGAGACATATCTCTTCGAAAAGTTCTATAAAGATTGATTGATTTACCAGTGAAAATATAGCACGTCTACTGCAGTGTATTTTAGTTTTGTGTAGCGCTATGAGCAGGCACCAAATGCTAGGGCCTAGATTTTCTAAGCTCTCTCAGCGCTAAGATAGTCGTAAGTGACATATCTTAACATTAACTTACGACTATCTTAGTGCTAAGAGAGCTTCGAAAATCAAGCCTCTGGAGTTTTGGCGCATAACAAATCTACTGTGTCCGGACTGAAAACGACATCCAGCAGCAAGCAATGAATTTGCTTCTATGAATGTATCTATCAGACACATCGTAACAATCATCTTTGAATGATCTGCCTGTTTATCGAAGACAAACGTAATCGCAATAGGTGCTTTGACAACTTCTGAAATCGCCCCTGTCTCGTCCATTCTGAATCCGGTATTGCTCACATTGAACACACATATTAACTGACAAGATTGTGGAAAATCAGAGACTACACGAACAGGCTTACAAATATAGAAGTACATTAACTGACATCAGCTTGACCTTATCATCAGCATCACTGATACAGCTTTGACTGACAGCCAGGTTATAATCAATATGTAACATATGTAGAGTCTAAAGTGAAGTGTGTCAGAGTTTTGGGTGTGTATTTGTTTGACTGTTGCGGATTTGTAAAAGTAATCTTAATTTATCTTAAAACTATCTCCTGGTCTGGTCCGATCCGACAAGACAAAAACAAATCAATGTTGGTATGTTATCCATGTTTGCATTGCATACGTAATCACCTCGACAATATTCCTGGAATATTCTTCCAAGTGGGATTCCAGGGAATGACTTTACGCTTGTTGTGAAGACCAAGTGCCTCTCCGAGGTAATGGCTAATATAGCGTACATGTACCATCGACCATTATTGTTCCAAACCGGATGCTCTGATATGGAGATTCATTAAGGCTATTGTTGAAGTGCACACTAAGACATGCATTAAACGAGATAAAGAGTATTGAATGAGTACAATGGATGAAATAGACAGAAATAGGCTAGAGAGCAAATCCCACTGTGTCTGGTCCATCAGATTGGAGTAAGTACAGGATATGTTGTAACATGCTTAAATGGGCTAACGAACATGGTTCTTAGCGTTTTGTTGAATGTCTGGCGTTAGAGTATCGGAGTTACGGCCATCGGAGCGCAAGCACCACCTTGTGTGATTGGGCTCTGGTTCATACTTCAGGAGCTCTTTATACCACGCACGCACACACACACACACACACACATACGCACACTTGTCTTGGTGCAGATGTGAAGATTTAACTTAAATGCACGTGAGGTCAGGTGAAACAACAAACAAACAAGGAAGGCCGACTTAGAACTGATTTCATTGTTCCCGTCTCAACAAACGTAACCTCATATGAATCTTGAGTTTCACTGGGGCGGTGGGGTAGCCTAGTGGTTAAAGCGTTCGCTCGTCACGCCGATTCCCCACATACATATACAATGTACAATGAAACCCATTTTCTGGTGTGACTCGATATGATTTTTCTGGCATATTGCGGCGTGAAACCAAATTTCACTCACTCATTCACTTGAGTTCAGGACCAATATTATGAGTGTTAGAAGTGTATTATTATTGACTGCGGCGGTAACACCAACCCAGTTCCTAACTCCACATGTGTTTGTCAGTGACAATCTCTCATAAATTGGTCCCAATCAGACTTCATACATATGTTTCCTATGGTAAATAATAATGGAATTCCAATCGTATCTTCTCTCATATAACATACAAGACAAATCTTATGGATAACAACTTCTTGATTTATTTTACACAACGTTTCTGGGCTAGTTCGTGCCCCTTCGTCATCCACCTGACGAAGGGGCAAGAACTAGCCCAGAAACGTTGTGTAAAATAAATCAAGAAATTGTTATCCATAAGATTTGTCTTGTATTACTAAACCAACTTCTTAATGCCTTTGAAGAATTTTCTCATATAACAGATTCAATACCCAGTTATAACAATGTTAAACAGTGACGTTTATTCATTTGACATCCAAAGTAAACCGGGATCCTGGTTTGTTGTGGGGTTTTGAAAAGTATATAATCGTGACACAGATTTAAGGAGACTGAATATGGTTGTAATGACTCCGATATGCGTTCAGATTTAACGTTTTCTGGAAACGTTTGGGAAATGAATACCCAATTTCAAATTCAAATTTTGCCGAACATCTGTTTCTTTATTAATCAAATTATGGTCTTATCATATTTACATCGAGGAGGGATTGGCCTCAATTTACGTGATATCTTGTGTACACAGTTGGAAGGGTGATCAGTCTGTCAAGTAATATACTCCTTTTCCACTCAATTTGTATAGATTTGCAGTTAATAATTTGTCACATTTGATCAAAATTGCAATTAGTTTGGCGAATAGTAACTGGAGTGACAGACGTCACGCCCCCTGGACTCCTGCCGGTTCAGAACCCACTACTCGGGGACTTCAGTAGTCAGCAGTTCTTGCTTGAGACCCTTCTGGTAGTAGTCCGAAAAGGCCTTGTTCTTCCCGAACACGAAATGCTGACTCATATCGGGAGAGTATTTTGCTGCCGGTGGAGTGCGACCGTAGGCTAAAGCCACCTCCCGGGTATAATGGGCGCTGTTCCCGCAACACAAGCCAACGACCTGCACCCCGATCTCCTTGGCTTCCTTGGCGAACGCATATACCTCAGACCGACCACAGAAGAACGCTGGTAGGTCATAAGGAAAGGCTCTCTCACCTGAGAAATACGACATTAAACGACATTGATCATACAGCTTGTCAAAATAAATACTGTGAAATCGATGTTTTATTTAGATATAATATGAATATCGAAGCACGACGCTTCACGACTACGCCTCAAACAGGTACTGAGAAACATCAGTCTACCTTTAACGGTTAATATATACTACCCGTCCGGAAATTATGGCGTCACACTATAGATAGTGATTAACGCTTCCAACGAGGCCAACATGTGGCATAAAACGTGATCAAAAGCGTTTGGATTGGTTTGCTTTTTGTTTAAAGCCACACTCAGCAATATTCAAGCTATATGGCGGCGGTCTGTAAATAATCGAGTGATCAACATCATGAGCACCGATATACACAATCAGGTCAATTAAGTCAGCGACCCTGACCATCTGATCCAGTTAGTCGCCTCTCACGACAGGCATGCATGGGTTGCTGAAGACCAGTTCTAACCCGGATCTTCTCGGGTCCTATCACCAGCGATTTGAAACCCGAACTACTAATAGCCATATAATATGGCGGCGTCGGGATAAATGTTCTTCGTTCACAGATTTTGATTCAGTCCAAGACATACATCATTTAGGCTGTAAGGTAAATTGTAATAAAGTCGAGATCCATAAATTCTCGCCTTTGTGTGTATGACGTCTAAATGCTGTTCAAAGGCTTTAAATTTTAATAATTAAAATTATATTTATTGTATAAACTGACTAACCTCTTGATGCTTCAAACATCATGAATCATATGACGTTTCTCATGTTTGCTTCTCGTCACGAAGCAAGCTTAAAACACAACATATCCGAAAACACCTAATCCCTTTATGCAACGCAAGCTGATCGTAATAATACCGGAAAATGGATCAAGGAGTGATTGCATGGACGGGAACTTCGGAGTTGTCCTGTATATAACTGGCAGAGCAGCAATTGGACCCTGTAACGACAATAATAATGTTAGGCTTAGTGATATCTGAATACACTGGATGCTTATGCGACATCAGTGTATATATAATGATGTTAGGATGGCAATAATAACGTTAGGATTGAACAGGCTTGGTGATATCTGAATACACTAGATTCTTATGTGACATCATTGTACATATAATGATGTTAGGATGGCAATAATAATGTTAGGATTGAACAGGCTTGGTGATATCTGAATACACTAGATTCTTATGTGCCATCATTGTACATATAATGATGTTAGGATGGCAATAATAATGTTAGGATTGAACAGGCTTGGTGATATCTGAATACACTAGATGCTTATGTGACATCATTGTACATATAATGATGTTAGGATGGCAATAATAATGTTAGGATGGAACAGGCTTGGTGATATCTGAATACACTAGATGTTATGTGACATCATTGTACATATAATGATGTTAGGATGGCAATAATAATGTTAGGATGATTGGTGATATCTGAATACACTAGATTCTTATGTGACATCATTGTACATATAATGATGTTAGGATGGCAATAATAATGTTAGGATTGAACAGGCTTGGTGATATCTGAATACACTAGATGCTTATGTGACATCATTGTACATATAATGATGTTAGGATGGCAATAATAATGTTAGGATGGAACAGGCTTGGTGATATCTGAATACACTAGATGCTTATGTGACATCATTGTACATATAATGATGTTAGGATGACATATAAATACACTAGATTATGTGACATCATTGTACATATAATGATGTTAGGAGGATGGCAATAATACTATGTTACATCATTGTACATATAATGATGTTAGGATGGCAATACTAATGTTAGGATTGAACAGGCTTGGTGATATCTAAATACACTAGATGTTTATGTTACATCGTTGTACAATGTATTCATCAAAGATAATACTGTTGTTATCTCTTCATACCTTACACGCCTGGCGTATCTCTTTTATCACAGGAATAATCGTCGTGGGACCTCGGCAACAGTTGATGCCTACAGCCGCCGCCCCTGCATCCTCCAGCTTACGACAAGCGGCACCGAAGGTCTGTCCGTCAAAAGTTATACTACTGACGTGGGGAACTATATTGACGACCGCTGGGATACCTGGAGTAGATGCAGTCAAACCATGTCATTATCAAGATCTTTGTAATGACTAGTGTCAAACTTAAACAAATATTTAGATTAAAAACGACAATAATCATGATCATAATCATTGCAACATGGAGTTTCCTGCTAAAATACCTTTGCTGTGCACGATTTTGTTTCAATTTTCTTTGTAGTAGCTGATTTGGAAAAAGTGATATTAAGAGTCATGACCGCCTCTCATGAAGGATAGTGCCTGATAATTGAGCTTAACATTCCCGTTCCTCTCTGACCAAATAATTCTACATGATACAAGGCTGTGCTTTTACATTTTGTTGGATGATATTCTGGTGCCGTATGTTGTGACCAACGACGAAAGCAGGAAATGCAGTAGCTATCTAAAGAGTGCCATTTTTGTTTGAGAGAACCACAGCTTTGAATGCGCTCTACGGCTGGATGGCACTGTCACCATTCTCCAAGAACATCTTCTCTGGGGAGAGACTTCCAGGGAAAATGCTATAATGTTCTAAATGCAGTGTAAAGAAAGAATAACAATCCTGGTGAATCGTTTGTTTCTTTAAGAAGCCGACTGGTCCCCTAAAATGAGACCCGGGTTTTCATTTTGCTGCCCAAACCGATTACACCTCGCTCATGCGTTATTCGCCAGGAACACGTAATATTATGTTAGTCGTTGACTGTGAAATGAATTAATGAACAATCGTTAAAGGCCATGAAGGTTCATGATTTTTAATTATCGTCTTTACGCTGCATGTGACGCTTAGCCGAAAAGACGTTACGTTACGTTTTGCCGAACGGCGCCCGGATCTCTTTGACGAGCGAAAAATATAGTGATGTTGTGACCACGCTAACAGAATCAGAATTCCCAAGATTCAGGATAGACAGAATTAGTATTCGGACGTCGCCTCCATCCAAAGCAGACAGTACATTGTATTAGATAAGGAGAGTCGTAGTGCTACTTTCGGTTTTCTAATTGAAAATTCGTGTACCGCTACATCCATCAAACATCTTAATTTCGACACTGACGTATATCAGTATGGCGACGGTCACTTTGTCAAATGGGTCGATAAACAGCAGTATTGCGTTGTGTTCTACTTACAATGATTTAGCCTTGTGGAGAGGGTATGGAGAAGCAACATAAAACGATTGCTTTGTGAAAGAATGTATATCCTCAGCTACATTCGTTTGTGAAACGTGTCTGATATTACAACATTGCTATGTGAAGCGGGTCGATAAGCAACACAGTATTACCTCATGAATCGGGTCACTTTGCTATGAAATTGCTTTGTAAAGATTGTTCAGGCAGCTTCGTGGAGTGGGTTTGTGTAGTGATATTGCTTTATAAATTTGGTCACATTAACACTATTGTGAAGCGGGTCTGTAGACGCTAACATTCAGTACCTTGGCCATACTTCTGGATGCAATCGAGGGCAAGTCTTGCCTCTGGATACTCGCTGAATGTCTCTGCCAGGATGAAATCAGCCCCTCCCTGCACCGCCCACTCCACCTGCTCCTGAGAAACCCACACACATGGTGAGATTCACAGATACTTAGAGCAAACGCGGTGTTTGTTACTGATACTTTCATACATACAACACGATGGGTGTTTTCATACATGAAACGAAAAAATCGATGTGTTATAAACTGTTTAATTTAATTTTTTCTTGTTTAGTTTGATACTTAGTACCAGAATTTTTGAGATACCAAACTTAAACAATCACGTTCCTTTGCTCCACACCCTCTTTACGAACAAACATATACGGAAAAACACAGTTCATCAAGGGATCGAGCCACATATATTCCCACTGCATGCCAAGTGAGGGTTCCTTCGTGTTCGTAGAAAGCTGGGTGTCCTCGTCAAAAAGGACTAAAAGAGTCTGTTTCACAACTGAGAGATGCAAAGCACTACACCTGTAGTTTTGGTTTTGTGAAAAGGGAATACCACGACAAGTATATGTGGGTGGCTCCGAATTACTGGTAGTGAAATTATTACTTACTTTAAACATGGCTTCGGTCTGCTCTATATGAGTCTGGCTGTCCCGTCTGAAGACTGTTGTGTTGCAGATGTTCCCCGCCATCAACGTCCCCGTCTCATCGGCCACCTGTCGGGCAATCTTCAGCGCTTCCACATTGAGAGCTTCCAGTTGGTCCTCTCTTCCTGTTAATCTCATCTTTTCCCGGTGGCCATAATACTGGAAACATGTAAGAGATGCACAAGGGTAAACTACATCTGTTGTGTAGATGTAGTACATATAATGCGTGAAACATTTGAGGAGCGATTTGATCCCACTTCAATTCCCGAACCATAAGGTTCTGACGCTTCTCACGTTTCATCAGTTCAGTTGTAGCCAATACTATGTTATGAAGTAAATGTAACGTTTTTAGTTGTGTTTTATAATGTAAAGTCACACAAACGAATCTACGTTCAACTTGGATTCCTTTTAGGATCGGTTGAGATTTTGAGAACATCTAATTGTCTATTGAAGGTATTTTGCATCATTGCAACACATTTACATCCCCACTAACCGGTGATTCAAAAACATATTGCTTGGGAAGCTGACATCGATCTATTCATGTTTAAACTCATTGTTCGATGTATTGCTATCAAAGAGAATAATAGAAAATTGCAATGCATCAGTCTTGGTATCCCAAAACACGATGATCTAAATAAACATAACTATTAACGGTCGAAGTGAACAGGATGACTGAGTCAGACCCACACAATATTTGAAAAATGAAAATTTCAATCTTAGCATTGCTTGATTGAGTTGAATATGATTTTACGCCGCTTTTAGCAATATTCCAGCAATATCACCGGCGGGTGACACCAGAAATGCTCGTCACACATTTTCCACATGTGGGGAATCGAGCCCAGATCTTTGGGCATGACGAGTGAACGCTTCAACCAACTAGGCTACCCCACGGCTCTTAATATTGCTTGAGTGAATGTGTTGTTTTAAGCATCGATTTAAACAATAATTTATCAATATCAAGCGTTTACTACTACAAGCGAAAAAAAGGGCTCCACCCCTAGAACCGGTATTATGGAACAAAGGCATTATGCCACTGAAGCAGGACGAGTGTTTTTGCAAGTTTATAAGACAGTAATACTTGTAATTCATGTACACTGATGACACTCTTTTGATTTTGGTTCGTTCATATTACACCGACTTGATATTGCAGTGGTGGTCCCATATTGATCATATATTGATATTGGTCCTGCATTAATCAAACACTGCATACGGTATTTACATTTATCGATATTTGATGTCAAAAACGTGTTTATCCTTGTGATTAACTTTTTTACACAGGCACAGATCGCAAAATATTGTATGACCTTAGATTGTGTTCACAGTGACAAAGAAATATAACCAATGCAACATTTCACCGTAAAGGCTAGGACAACATCGCTGCCGGCATGGACAAACTCCTCATGGAGGTTCTTCACCAAGTTAGGGTGTTCCAGTACAACCTCAGGAACAAACGCTCCCGCTTTGAGATATCCTCTCCTCTCAAACTCAAACAGATACCCCTCCGCCACAACCAGATCACCGCCATTTGCCAGACGCTCAACCAAACCTAGCAGTTGGGTTGAAAAAGAGGAATGTCAACTAACATCTGTATGCATTGGCAGTCTATGCTGCAGACTACGTATCAGTTTTATTATTATTTTATTCATTATGCACATACAAAATCGAAATGGACATCCGCTTATCTGCAACCCGTTAAACCAGAAATCTGTTCCCTGTCGACTGAACATCTCAGTGATTTACATGATTAACATATACAATTCAAAAGGTACATGATCCCAATGCAATGGCATATACAATTCAAAACCCCGGTACATGTCGATCCCATCATGCAATGGCATATATCCTGGTTGAGTGAACCAGCTGAGTGCGTTAGTTTAATTAGTTTTACGCCGCACTCAGCAATATTCCAGCAATCTATTAAAGGTGAGTGGCGGTCTGTAGTAAACTCATATTCGAGTCTGTAAATAATCGACCAGACAATCCAGTGATCAACAGCATGAACATCAATCTGCGCAATTGGGAACCGATGATATGTGTCAACCAAGTCAGCGAGCCTGACCACCCGATCCCGTGAGTCGCCTCTTACGAGAAGCATGGGTTGCTGAAGATCAATATTCTAACCCGGGCCTTCACGGGTTATCCTGGTTGATCATCGTCGTGACACATTAACACACCGTCAATATGGCAATGTACATAGCGGCCTAGGCCTAATGTTACAGCAGTATCATAATCGAGATGATCACACCTACACCTAACTAAAGAATGTACATCAGACTAAGCTTAGGACACATATCTTCGTTGAACATATTCATCACTGAAATGATCATATTAATAATATGCTTCCGTGAAGAATTATTTTCAGGAACGTTTAGGTAAAGACCGTGGATTCGTACAATGATTATCCTCAACTTCATGGGTGAGAACAATTCAACTTCAATTTGGAAGGGATTCTCTGTATTCACTTATTTCACATATGTTTACATGCAGGTATACTGCCCATTGAGTGCATTGTTTTAAAGTTTTCACATGGTGTACTATTAATCTGTTTTCCAACGAAACTTTTGTGCTGGGAATATGTATTTAAATTCCTCAAGAAAATAGTCACACATACTGAAAGCCATAAACAACCCATACGAAATATTTAGCTTTTCAAACGTACCTTGCTTCGACATGCTGCTTCTCTGAGTTTCAACACCAGTATGGCTATCGCTTAGTTGGCAGCACCAACTATAAGAGCTTTAAATAATCAGCATGGAAATTGTCATCGTGACTGTCATATGGGATTGTGAATGACGTGACATGTTTCACACATTACATATTATTACTGGAAAGGGTCTAGTATCGAGTTTCTATGGAGTGCGAGAAGGGACATTGTCGCGTTGTCGCATTGTGGCGTTGTCGCCCTCTCAAAAACAAGCAAAATGAGGCAAAATTAACCAAAGCGCGACAACGCGACAACGCGACATTTCGCCCAAACACACTTCATTGGCTAAATACATTTATAATATATAAAATAATTTTCAAAGCAACAATGAAAGATTTGCATTAAGTTCAAGAAAAGCAGCCCCCATTGCCACTACGAGTACTACTTCATTTTAAAAACCACTGGAGGTACAAAAAGACCACTGAAGTGTGAAATAGAGTATAATTTTTATTGCGCATGCGTAATGTAATTGATTTTCTACGCATGCAAACCGGTAATCGAAAAGGGCGACAACGCGACAATGCGACATATTCAATATGTCGCATTGTCGAGTGTCGCGTTTTAGTCAGTTTGAAGCTTTTTTTTTACACATCTTAGAGGGGCGACAATGCGACATATTTTGACCTTGAAAATTGTCGCTATGTCGCCCTTTGGAGGAATAGAAAAATGCGACAATGCGTATTTGGGCGAAATGTCGCGTTGTCGCATTGCCGCGCTTTGGTTAATTTTGCTTGTATTTGAGAGGGCGACAACGCGACAATGCCACAACGCGACAATGTCCCTTCCAGGATTCCATAAGTTTCAGATAACAAGGTATATTTTTTATGACATTGGACTGTATATAGTGTAAAGCGATAAAGGATTAAATCTATATCTATCCGATGTATTTCTTGAGGAATGTGCTTGGTCATAGTTTAGGCTCGTTCCTTTTGGAAATGAATATATCCTTATGAAAAAGCAAATTTAATTAGATTTGAAAGTCGTTGTAGTTGTCAAATCTAACTATGGATGCCTTTGAAAAAATGGATGAACCAGTTTCAGAAAGCACTTCAATTCAATGTGTTGGTTTTAGGATCCCGTGCTAATGTACTCAAGGGGTGGAGTAACCTAGTGGTTAAAGCGTTCGCTCGTCACGCCGAAGACCAGTGTTCGATTCCCCACATGGATACAATGTGTAACGCCCATTTCTGGTGTCTCCAGATATTTCTGGAATGTTGCTAAAAGCGGCGTAAACCTTAACTCACTCACAAATGTACTCGACTTAATCATGATCTTGGATTATGGGCACCACACCAGAAGGTTCTCCTGGTGACTCGTCCACTGAACCAAAACACCGTGCTATTACCTTGAAACACACGCCGCTCAATCTAAACTATATTACTCAACAATGCCTTAACTCACAGGCAACTTCTGCTGTTGTTAGGGCGTTGATTGAAAGTCTAAACAAGGAAAATACGTGTATCGGCATTAATTTTATTCTCGTATAGGAACTTGAAAATGTACAATGAAGATTACGATCAAGTGCTTACAGGGACATATGCATATCGCATGGATATGGCGAAGAAACCATTAACAGTCATTTCCTCAAACATACACCTAAAACAAATGTGTTTTAGTATAATTACATGCCTCTGTCACGAAGACCAGGTTTTAAGAGCGTTTATGTAAGTTAGACCAAACATAATAGTGAAGACATGTAAGCTGAATATGAGAGAGGGAAACATTGAACATATCTGACTTTTTATACTAACAGGCAACAAAAGAAAACTAAAGACAACAAAGATGATCTTTGGGGTATAATATCCTGTGTCATGCATGTAGTTTTTATCTTGACCTCCATTAGTGTTACAGACCATCAGGTCTATATACATTTACATAAATGGTGAAACGTATGCACCTGATGATGCATTAATCGTTAGTGAGGATCAGATACGTCAATCCATACATGTAGTAAATGTGAGATGACAAGGCAAGATTGAGCCCCTGGCCTCTAACCTCTCGTGACACCTGTACATACACTTGCTGTGTGGGGACGATCATAATCAGGGCCAAACTGGAAAAAGGCACGTTACATTAAACTGTAGTTGAACTGAACCTTCTTCATGATCTAGCAGTTTTGTTTTCCCAGAAAGCTTGCGTCATGCATGTCTCCGCTGAGGTCGTGAGATTACTGCACTACGTATGCATACGTTTTGGATATTGTCGAGTTAAAATGTGTTGACCCTCCCCGTCGGGCAAATCTCAAATTATGTTTCATTTTTAATCTACGATTGAAAAGTTTGGGTGATATATCTGAGTCAACCAATGTTGATATGGTAATAATGAATGTTTTGAGACATTTCCATAGGTGTTTGTACAGTAATCTACTGAAAGATGTTTGGTGTATGAAAAGTTTTTCACTCGGCTAGACACAAATAACTAATCCAAATTAATGCTCTACAGTGATTTATCGACATTCTTGAAAACTGTCAAAATCTAGAATGACACCCCATGCACATGTATGCAAGATGATTCATTTTGTCAAAATTAATGCTCTACAGTGATTTATGGACATTCATGAAAACTGTCAAAATCTAGAATGACACCCCATGCACATGTATGCAAGATGATTCATTTTGTCAAAATTAACGCTCTACAGTGATTTATGGACATTCTTGAAAACTGTCAAAATCTAGAATGACACCCCATGCACATGTATGCAAGATGATTCATTTTGTCAAAATTAATGCTCTACAGTGATTTATGGACATTCATGAAAACTGTCAAAATCTAGAATGACACCCCATGCACATGTATGCAAGATGATTCATTTTGTCAAAATTAATGCTCTACAGCGATTTATCGACATTCATGCAACCTGTCAAAGGACACCCCATGCACCCCATGAGTTGTGTTTAGGGGTGGTGCTCAAGTGAAATGGTGGTGCGTTCATACGAGGTCTGTCTTTGAAAAGTTTGCAAACGCTTATACTTCCTATCCAAATGGAAAGTTGAGGTTCCCACATTGTGTGTAAAGAGTTTATATCTACCTTGCCTGGATCGATTACACCTCCAAAATATGAGCACAGCAGATACATACAGCCAAACATGCACGCATATCCTGGACATATCAATGACTGTAATGGTCAAACTACTTTATACACAATGTACATGTCGTTCTGGATGTACAACCACGTATGCCATCGTTAAACAACGCAATAAATGAAATAATCAAACCGAGAACGTACACAATATACACGTCGGTTACACATAAAACCACAAATGTCATGATTGTAGGATTAGCTTCATGGCTGGAATGATCACAACGACAAGATCGCAATGTATAGATCTGCCTAAAATTATATAATCTGATGAAACTCTTCAAAGGCTTTTAGAAGTTGGTGTAGTAACACAAGACAAATCTTATGAATAACAACTTCTTGATTCATTTTTCACTAAAATAAATCAAGAAGTTGTTATCCATAAGATTTGTCTTGTATTACATGATCTGGTTGAACAGTTTCATCGCCGTGATGTGACATCGACATAATACACTGTGGACATGTCAGCCTTCGGTCACATATGTTAACGCCTGAAATGAAGATAACATACACATTCACACTTTCAGAACAACATCACGACTTGATTACACAGATAATATACATAGTGTTCAAGTCGATCTCCTATCCAGTCACACATGTCCTTGTTGAGCAGCATCACGACTGAAGTGATTGCACAGACAATATATACAATGTTTAAGTCGATCTCATGTACAGTCACACATGTCATAGGAGAACAGCGTCACTTCTTAAATGATTACACCGATAATATACATGATGTTCAAATCGATCTCATGTACAGCCACATACGTCCTGGTAGAACAACAGCACGACTGAAATGATTGCATCAACAATATACACAATGTTCAAGTCGACCTCATATACAGTCACACATGTCCTGGTAGAACAGTATCACGACTTAAATGATTACACCAATAATGTAAACCATGTTCAAGTCGATCTCATATCCAGTCACACGTGTCCTGGTAGAACAGCAGCACGACTGTAATGACTGCATTGACAATATACACAATAGAAATATCAGCCTAAGATCACACATGGAACAGGTTCATGGCTAGGATAACGACATTAATCATATACTCAATGTACATATACGGTGTCATATACAGTCACACATGTCCTGGTTGTACCGTTGTCTACCCGGGCATGTATGTTTGTGATCCACAAGGTAGCCGAAGCCAGGGTAGTATGTCAATTGCTCGTAACTGTTTTCCCCCAGCTTTCGTCTATTACAGGAGGCTGCAAAGATAAAGATCACGTGTATCGCATTATACGGGAAGACTAATCATTGTTTAACAACATAATTAGTGTATGCAAACTAACGTGTTCATTAGGGAGACGACTTGAAAACTATTAGTGTAAAGTCTTTTGGAAAATCTGTTAGTCTCTTATATTACGAAAACATTAATATTAAGAATACAAGGTATTTTACAAATTATTATAATACACAAAACACGTTATTACATAGGTCGGCGTTTTTCCGCGTTGAAGACAAATGCTTTTGTTCTGTCTAGAAGGTCAAAAGAACCACAGCTACCAAGGTCGTGTTTCCAGTGTCGATGTTTGCCAAGAAAATGTCACAGACAGTATCAATAATTGTCATTGAAAAAGGGATGATCTCTAAAAACACGTTTCTAAATCCATTCTTCAATAATTACAAGCTCAGACAATTAGATTACCATTATTAGATTAACAAACTTTACGCCATTCTATTTTTGTGATTGTATTATCTACACTATATTCGTTTATATTACTTTTTATTCGGGAAAATTAACTGACTGTCAGATTTGTTGTCTTGTGTTTTCTTCGAACAGATCTTTTCCCCTGAGACTTTGATAAAAATATTGAAAGCGTTCGCTATGAAGTTACTCGTGTTTTGTTAAACAAGGCTAGTTTAGTGATATAGGTCACGAGGTTGGGTGAAAATGTAACTTTGGACCTTTTTCTCACATTTTAGTCATTTGGGGATTTTAACTGCACATATGATGTCGACGGCTGGGCAGAAAACGCTCAC